AAAAATAGAAATGAATTGCAAACCATAAGAATAAAATTGGAACCACAGATACGAAGTCCGTAATTTTTTACAAACCACAGAGATGAAAAACGTAATTTACTCTATTTTAAAATTAACCATAAGTGAAAGAATCTTGTAAACTTTAACCGGCACCATTAATTAATTAATCACAATGACAATAAAAGTTATGTGAACTACAAGGCTGGTGCCTAATTGGTTTGAACTTGGCTCCAAATGTTAAAAGTACCAGGAGGTCTTAGGTTCAAATCCAAGGAGGAATAAAAATCCCCTTGTGACCATAGAGGTTAAATTGCGGTGACTCCGGGCTATCTGCAAAACAGGTGGTTGTCCTAAAGTTAGTCAGCTCGTATAGCGGGTTGGATATCCAGGTTAATCAAAAAAATAAAAATAAAATAAAAGTTATGTGATTTAGCATGAAAAAGTTTTTAAATGATGCCAACTTAACAAAAACTTTGGCCATTTTTTTTTGATTAATCTGGATATCCAACCCGCTATGTGAGCCGATTAATCCCAGGGCGACCACCTGCTTTGCAGATAGCCCGGAGTCACCGCATTTGAATCTTCATGGCCACAAAGGGATTTTTATTCCTCCTTAGATTTGAACCTAGGACCTCCTAGTACTTTTAACTTTTGGAACCAAACTCAAACCAATCAGACACCACCCTTGATTAACTTTGGCCATTTTCATCACAAAGAAGATCATAACTAAATCATTTAGTGTTATAAATTAGGGAAAAGTACAATAAAAACCAATGAACTTTCTTGTTTGGAATGATTAAGTCCTTGAACTTTTTTTTGGAACAAATAAGTCCTTGAACTTTTTTTTGGAACAAATAAGTCCTTGAACTTTCCAAAACATGTTAAATAAGTCCTTGAACATTCCAAAATATGTTAAATAAGTCCTTGGACAATTTTGGAACAAATAAGTCCTTGAACTTTCCAAAACATGTTAAATAAGTCCTTGAACATTCCAAAATATGTTAAATAAGTCCTTGGACAATTTTGGAACAAATAAGTCCTTGAACATTYCAAAACATGTTAAATAASTTTTTGAAAAAAATAAAGTGGTAAAATAGTGAAAATAATGGGGAAAAAAACCCAATGAACATTCATATTTTGAACGATTAAGCCCCTAAATATTTTTTGAACAAAAAAGTATTTAGATCTATAAAATTAAACAAATATAACAAAAAAGTACTTACATTTACAAAAAAATAATTACCATTTTAACTAGTTGTACAAGTCATTAGAATGTATCCAACATGTTTTATAAAAGTTCAAGAAGTTATTTAACATGTTTTGGATTGTTCAAGGACTTATTTGTTCCAAAAATAGTCCAAGGACTTATTTAACATTTTTTGGAATGTTTAAGGACTTATTTAATATATTTTGGAATGTTCAAGGACTTATTTGTTCCAAAAAAAAGTTCAAGGACTTAATCATTCCAAATAAGAAAGTTCATTGGTTTTTATTGTACTTTTCCCTATAAATTATAATATAATCAATCATATAAGTTTTTATAAGTCTTTGGAAGCATCTCCAATCGCACAACCGTTGTTGGCTCGTCAACCCTCCTCGCCCTCTCTTTCCCCCGCACTATGTGACATCACCTTGCCCTCTGGCACTCCGACAACCATAGTTACCCGTTTTCACCAAATTTTTTAGGGAATGGGTTAGGCATGTCGCTCGATCTGGTAACCTGCAGACAATAAAGCATGAACCCTATATAACTGAGCTGACCACAATGGTAGAGGGCAAAAATCGAATTATGAGAAGATGGGATGCCACTCTCATCGTTTGGACCTCAATCAACCTTACAAAAATAATTCTCTCATATTCTCTAATCAATTATTATTTTCTGTTTTTGAACCATAAAACAAATATTAATACTGGATATTTCAGAGAAATTACCGAAATAGCTAAAATGTGATATTTCCTATTCTTTTTACCCTTTTTTTTCAATTATATCAAAATATAGTCTTTCTGAATTAAATACGTTTATGATGGAATTGATTTGCCAAACATGCATGGTGGCTTGCGGAATGGGTACACCAGAATCATATATTTTACATAAAGGTACATTTTGCAAGCTGTTAAATGGGTACTTGCGAAATTTTGACTATTTTAAGACAAATTAGGAAAAGCAGGATTATCAACGAACAAGGGGGAGTCATTCGAATTCCCCATATTTTTATTAGTCTCAGTTATCTGAATTAAGTTTGATTTAAATGACATTGATTGCATAATGTATAAGACCATGAAACATTAAAAGAACGCTACACCTTCATCACCGGCCTAGAGCTTCCTCCTCAAGATTTTAACTTCCTTCTATTCACAAAAATGCATTTGCTAATTCGTTCTTACCCAAAATGGTAGCTTTCACCGCAACCTGTAGACAGAGAGGGAGCGGGGTGGCAACAACCATGGCATGGTGGGTGGTGGTGGGAGTAACGGAGATGGAGAGAAGGGTCGTCCGACAAATATCGATTCCTAGAGTAGGGTTATCGGTGACTTTGGAAGTAACCACAAGGACCAAAATTGTAACTTTTTATAGTCAAAAGGATATATATACAACAAATCTTATAGTCATGTGTGAAACTACGATCCCTTGTGTTCACATTTCTTGTTGTTGGTGGTGAAGGTGATGAAAAACCAACTTATGAAACAACGACACGTGTCATATTCTTATTCTCAAGATTTCTTGATCCACTCTTTTGTTTGAAGCTTGGGCCTTAATTTTTGAATCAAACCCAACAAATCGGATTGAGATTGTTTTCAAACCATATTTTAAACATCTTCAAATCAGTTAACCCAACCCGATCATCCGTACACCTGAAACTCAAAACCCTTAGAAATTTGGTTGGAATTTCTTTAAATCTTGAATATCAGATGGGAAAGACAAGACCCAAGGACTCCCCTTGATTGACTGGTTATAGTTTGCTAGTTCGTTTATACTTTATAAATTGATATAACAAATTGGATTGGGTTGGGTTGTTCAAATGCCTTCAACCCGATCAATCCAATCCAATCCAATCCGTGTTTAGCCTTGGATATAAATTACCTGTAAGATGCTAGTAGCGAGGGCTTAGCTATGATTTGAAGTGCTCTAATTCGAACTCCTCAATGGCCCCAGTATCTTAGTCATCAGACTCCTTATCATACGGAAAATCTCCTCTCTTCCATGATAGGAATGGTGTTTTTGGAAGAGGGAGAGTATGGAAGGAGCTGTTAAGGAGCATGCGAACAACGGCATCCATACTTGGTCTGTCATTTGCATCTTCTTCAGTACACAAAATCCCAATGTGGATGAATCTTGATATCGAACTCTGAAAGAAAACATCTGAAAGAGTTCAATAAATTAAGATGCATTGATGGTTCTTCAATGAATAACTGCGTATTTTACCCGTCCGATGTCTCGTCAACAACAATGGAATCAGGCTCATTGATTTTGGAACATCTTGAATGCTGAAACCCAGATAGTTTGGGAGCCAAACTTTCATCTAAAAGTATGTTGTCAAGGTATACATTAGAATGTATGACTATCGTTGTATTACAAAGTTCATATAAAAGAAGGTTAAATGGTGCTTATTTGAAAGCTTTTCGGAAGCTTATTGGCCACATAAACTAAATGTAAAAGCCTTGACAAGATGGATTGATGGTAAGCGCTTATCACCCAATAAACACTTACCCAATAAGACTTTCGATCCTTGCTTTCCCTTTTACCAGGTAAGATTCGCGATCCTTGCTATGCTCACCCAGTAAGATAACTGACCAGGTAAGCACTTACCCGGTAAGTGTTTGGTCAACGGCCCCTAAGACAATGAATGGTTCAAGTATTAGATATGCATCTCAGTTGTGGACGAGGCTGCATAAGAGGTGAAACAAAAGACTCGAGAGAAATATGAAGGCTACATACATGGTCAAGTTTTGTCTTGGGTTGGTTTGCATAATTTAGCAATAGAAAGTGCCTTAATTAGCATATGTAATTAGAAGATAGAATTGTACTTGATAATTTCAGAATCTATCAATCCATGGTATATACAATTGGAGCAATTAGGCGTCCTAGACCAAAACGCTACAAAACAAAAAGGCTTCACCAATCAAAAAATCCGTCGGAAAAAACCATCACCGTCGGAGGAAAATGTGGCTGTAATTGTGATTACCGACGGAAGGTGATTTGTCAATCCTGTCCCATCACAAATCCACCGAAAATTACCGGTGGAAAAATCCGTCAGTGAAATCTCTTTGTTTTGTAGTGAAAGTAAGAGGTGTTGATCATTATCAGGTTGGAATGGTTATGTCACACCTATGCATAGGCATTGTTAATGTCAACTTGACGAAGAGACCAACCGTTTCTGATAGCTAGAGAGAGAATCATTCGGATTGTGGCCGACTTAACCACTAGACTGAAGGTTTTGGTGTAGTCAAGACCGGGTATTTGGTGGAATTCTTTAGCAACTAGACGAACTTTATAATGGTCGATAGAGCCATAGGGTTTATATTTGGTACAAAAAACCCATTTACATCCAATAAGGTTTTGAGATGGAGATGGAACAAGATCCCATGTGCGATTTTTAAGCAAAGCATTGTACTAATCTTGCATAGCAAGGATCGAGAATCTTACAAGTAAGAGGCAAGGTAAGGATCGAGAGCTTACCAGATAATAAGCTCTTACTAACAATCCATCTTGATGGTCGAAAATGTTATCCTATAAGGTAAGTGAGGGTGACGAATACTGTTGGTAAATGCGACTCCCCAATAAACATTTGGTAAACAAACCCTCAAAGAGTTGTTTTAGTTGAGTCAATAACCTGTTTTGGACCCTAAGACTCTTTTTATACATCTCCAAAATGTATAAACTTTTTAATCCAATCAATAGCATCTTACAACTTTTTTCAATCAAAAGATACAACAGATGACTGAAAAGCATGTCCGCCAGACGGCCAATAAGCCGCTGTTGGTCCATGCGTATACGTAAATGGAGTGAAACAAGCGGAGGACATAGTAAAATTGCTAGAATTTGATACAAGGACGAATCGGTAAAGATTTGGCAAACTATAATGTCTATAGATTTGGATGGGCATTGCTAGAAAGCATCCTACACAAATTACAACTAAGAAACACGCTATTCAGGTGATGTTAATAAGACTTTGAATCAAATGCTTTATAATATAATATAATATAATATCAAAGCATTGCTGAACTTTGACACAATATGATCTTTTTATCTCTTCCTGCCTATTTGTCAGAGTGCCGTTGAATACGGAGAGAATACCTACAGAGTAAATTCAGGTCACAGTTGGTGTGTTAGCGCAACTACATCCATATACGTATACGCATAGTATAACTCAAGAGCATGAATGATGCCTTAATGAATTAGTGAACAGAATAGTGAACAACGATGTTAACGTGTTGTATGTATATAAGGTACATTCAGAGGAAGTTCAGTTTGCACAACAAAAAGGAATCCAAAATGTCAAACAACCTTAGTCCAACCAAACTAAAGGAAAGTACCTTTGGAATCTAATCGAACATTGAAGATATATGTAGTGTCAAGGATAAGTTTAGACATAACTTCTTTAAGTACCTACTACCTAGAGGAGAAAACCATTGGTATGCAGTTGGGGAAATGACTTGATAACAAAAATTAACAATCAATATATAAAAATATCGTGTATGTGTGCGTTTGTTTGTTTTGGAAATAGCAAACAACATGAATATCGGTAGTTTGTTTGTATTTTGTAGAATCTGGTTGTGCCACATCATCTCTTCAACATCTTCTTCCTTTTATATATGTATAGAAGATATAGATTACCTGCAAGACGCTACTAGCGAGGGATTAGCTCTGATTTGAACTCCTCAACTGCCTCAACATCGTAGTCATCAGGCTCAAATTCAAACTCCTCAACTGCCCCAGCATCATACTCTGTATTATATGAAAAACCTCTTGTCCACCATAGCGACGGTGGTCTTCCGGGAAGAGGGATAGAATGAGAAGAGTTGTTAAGTAACATGCCAATAACTGCATCCATACTTGGTCTGTCACTTGCATCTTCTTGAATACACAACAACGCAACGCGGATGAATCTTGATATTGAACTCAAGTTAGCAACACCTACACGTGGAGACATTGCTGCCAACGAATCAATCCAGTCCTACAACAATCCAAAATGTCTATGGTTATACCCCACCATTCACAACAAAGAAAATATTAATCCATGATAATACTAACCCTTTCTCCAAGTTGGTGGGGGACTTCAACCAACCTCCAGAGTGATGTACTCCAAAATACCACTTGTAAAACCAAGAAACCAAAATTGAAGACATCAGCCTTGGTTGACAAACAGCCATGTAGAGCATACTCGGGTGCCATGAATCTGCTGTCAAATATGCAGATATTGGCAACAACCAACAGTATGAATTAAAACAGAAAAACACAGACATGCATGTAATGAAAACTTAAAAAACAGATTCACACAAAATCTAAACAAAATTTAAACAAAGTCACTCAAATTACTTCAAATCTAAAGGGATTCATTGCTTCATAGAACACTTCCATGATCAAACGGAAACAACACCAACACACAAATTGCTTTAACAACACATTCTTATGAAAACGATATATTTTTAGAAAATCAAACACCAGTTATGGTTAAAACTACAATTCCAATAAGAGAGTCCTTTTTGTTGGATCCAATGGATTCCTTAATGAAACAGAACATCTGAAAGAGTTCAATAAAGATGCATTGAGATTTAAATCAATGGTTCTTTAATGAATAAGTGCATATTTTACCAGGTCCCACAAATCGCATGAACAGCAATGCAATCAGGCTCATTGACTTTGGAACATCTTGAGAACCAAAACCCAGACAGTTTGGGAACCAAACGTTCATCTAGAAAAATGTTGTGAAGGTTTACATCTGCATGCATGACCCGAATGGAAGCATGCTTATGAAGGTAAACAAGTGCATGAGCAACACCTAGTAATATTTTGTACTGCTCAACCCAATCCAAGGGAGCACGACCTGCAAAGGCAGATCGTGAATATAATATTAAAAACTATCATTTTATTATAAAGTTCATATAAAAGACGATTAAGAGTATACCCTGGGTATTGATAGGAGCGTTTTACTCAGAGCATCCACAATGGTGCTTATTTGAAAGCTTTTTGGAAGCTTATGGGCCACATAAACTCAATGAAAAGGCCCTGACAAGATAAAATCACCTTTTCGCTTGTCCAGTTACAAGCAAATATTTTGAATGTGGGTTCTGCTTTCCTTGAAAAAGCTCACTCAAAATGCTTGACCATTGGATGCTCTTAGAAAGTCAATTATCTTAAGCTGTGGTACAAGTGAATAATGTAATGGTACAAGTAGGGAACTGTAAGTCGGTAAGTAGCCTAAGAAGCATAAATAAAGGGGGCGGGAGGTGAGAAATTTGACGTACGTTGGACCAATTTGAATAAAGTAGAATTGAATTCGATACCAAGTAAATGATTACATCGTCTATTTCAAGGCCTAAGAAATTATATATTGATATAAAACATTGTTAAATATCAAAACAATGATAAATGGCACAATCGATTTAGTAATAGGTTGATATTAGGATGCCGTAAATTAAACCAAAAACTCAAGTATATTGAGATAAGTAACTCGGGGCATAGAATAGTTAGAATATTCTATTTAAGTTGAACAGACAAAAACAGACATTGTACCTATTTGTACCACAGCCTAGTATAATCGACTTCCTAAGTAAAAAAGCCTCCTATATTTACTAGTCAATACCCAGGGTACCGATTGCTTGCTTTTAAACTCCATCACGAATTCGCGAACGTTGAACCAAAATGTGACCTTGGTGTAAAATTTCAAAATAATTCATTTTACCATGTATCAAGTCATTTAGATTTGCATACAATGCAATGTCATAGAGGAAGTACACTTTTGTTCCTGCAATGCAATATCCAAGCAACTGAACCAAATTCTTATGTTCAAGCTTTACGAGTGCTGATGCTTCATTCATCTCACATTCATAATTGCTAAAGGAAAAGGAACCACTCCGTTCAAGAATTGCTATATCTTGGCCATTTTGTAGCCTTCCCTGAAAAAGGAAACCAGGTTGAAAACAATGTGCAACTTGAAAAATATGTAATTAGATATGTGATTATGGGTACCTTGTACATGTCACCAACTGATTGTCGAAACATTAATTTGGAGAAGCTCTCAGTTGCAACATTGATAGTATCAAAATCAAAACGGCGTAATATTCGGTTTTCACCTCCAACTGTATAAAGGTATATATCCAAGGATTTTAAACTTCTACCTTCAACTGCAAGTTCAATAAATAACAAGCTGTTAGAAATGGGTAAGATATCAAAGAATAGAATTAGTCTATGTTCAATAAATGCGTAATGCCACTCTGAGGTCAAATATGGGAACCACAATCTACAATTCATGTCTGTAAAAGAAAGATCTACGTTTCAATACCAAGCTATCATTTGTCAATTTAAATGAACATTATTGTTTTTCTTCTGTTAACACTTTGTACTGCAAAAATCTAGAGCTAAATTGAACATAGTAAATTGGAAGAGAACGTAATACCCGAGTTTTCCCAATTGGATGGGAAAATAAGCTTCGGTACCTTTCTACCAAATATTGTCATGCCTGCAGGCTGCAACATAATGTTGCTTTTCTCCTGTAAGGCTAGGACAGACTCAAGACCCACCAAAACCTCAGCCATCGTAGGACGTTGCTTTACATGGCTCTGCAAACACCAGTCTGCTAGTCGTGCAAACTCCTTTAATGATTTAGGGGATATTCTCCCCTTTAGATTAGTATCAACGATCTGCTTTAGCATACCTTCTTTGATGGAGTCTTGAGCCCATCTCGCCAAACTCCATTGCTCCTCATCAAGACTTCTATCCACTGCTTGTTTTCCACATAAGACCTCAAACAATACCACCCCAAAAGCATACACATCAGACTTTCTCGTCAACCGACCAGTAAATACATAATCTGGATCTAGATATCCAAATGTGCCTTTCACCAAAGTGCTGACGGAGGTGCATGGCTGATTTGTTGGACCTATTTTAGATAAGCCGAAGTCTGAAATCTTAGCTTCCCAACAGTCATCTAACAGTATATTTGAGCTCTTCACATCCCGATGTATAACTCCATGATTTATACCCGTGCCTGTGTGAAGGTAATGTAGCCCACGTGCGGCTCCAATGCATATTTTGAGTCTTCGCACCCATGATAGAGGAGTTCCAAGTTTGTGGAGATGATGTGCAAGGGTTCCATGAGGCATATATTGGTAAACAAGGATCATCTCTTGCCCATCATTACAGTAACCAATCAAAGACACCAAGTGGCAGTGCCTTAACTTAGAAAGCGTCTCAATTTCAGCCAAAAACTCCACTGCTCCTTGATTAGAAGTTGCTTCCAGCCGCTTAACGGCAACATCCAAAAGACTTCCCTCATTAGCGACTGTTCCTTTGTAGACTTTCCCAAAACCCCCACTCCCAATCACCAACGACTCATCAAAGTTCTGGGTTGCTATCTGAATCTCAGAAATTGTAAATCGCCTACACGGTTGTAGTGGCTCTGATGACGAGGAGGATTGGGCCTGCTGGCCGGTCTGAAATGACATAGTCAATGATATGAATTAGAAAGGGAGTCTTGATAGCATCTCCAACTATATGGTCATAGGTATAGTCTTATAGAGAGATATACATGAAGTAGGGATCATGGCTTAAAATCAATTAATATCCCATATATGTTGCTTCCCTGAAACTGCAGTGTAATTTGACAATTGACAATTGACAATTGAAAAAGACTACAGTAGACTATATGGAAAGTGTTCTACGCGGTTAGCATCCGCGTTCAACAATCAACTATGCATAATCTTCACCTTATTTTCCATGTGACGTCACATCAATGTTTTATATACGCTTCGTCTTATAAGCCCATATTCCACAAAGATGAAACAGTTACTTCATAAATGGCTCTCATGGCCATTGCTATCTTTAGAAAAGGTTTGATAGTTACATTTTTTTTTATCAACTTCCGATATGAATCTCTTCGTGCTTCTTCACAATTCCCATCCATGTGTTTCACTTTAACATGCTCAATCTACTAAGTTTATATACGAAATTAAAACCCTAGATTTAGTATGAACGACATAAATTGGGAGAAACTTCCAACTTACATGGATATGACGATGCAGATTCTAAGTCATGAACTAAAACTATCCCGACGGTCGTCTGTGGTTCAACAACAATGGTTGTCGAGCGGCAATGGCGGGTGGGGAATGATCAACTGGTAATATATTGCTAACAAAATTACAACGTATATAATACAAAATAATTCAGAGGTTTTAGAATTACTAAGGAAGGTAGAACTCGGGTTGTTTGGTTACCCGTTAATAGTTTCATTAAGAGGCAACATTTGAATCGTGAAGAGGTGAATATTGTTTGGCCAAAAAAAAAACTTTGTCTATTAATGGTTCTAAAACACTCTGAATGATTTTGTATCATGGATCTCCCATAACCATTAAGAGCCCTAATTTCATTATACATAATTACCAAACAATTATATTTTATTTTACACTATATCATGAGAGTCTCTTAATCATTCTGACCACTTAATCATTCTGCACTAAACCATTCAACAATTGTCAAATAACTCATTCTTTGTAGTAGCCGTCTCTTAATGTAACTATTAAGAGGTAAATATCCCTAATTTTGAGATTCATGTTACTCCTACCAAGAAACATGTCAGGTACAGGACATTCGTGTAGAAACAGGCAGATGAGACCAAATCGATATACTAAACAGCTTTCCGTAGAGTGCTATGATCCATTGCTGACTTCACCACGATCGATTAGGTGAAACAGTTCAACCTTTCTTCAACATAGGGGACAAGGAGCGAGGCCRCGATGGAAGAGATCAAACACGGGAATAAAACACCAAGAAAACCTTAAAAATTCCCATTCTTCTTTGACGTCAAGGAAGGCTACCCATGGGTATTAAAGGAAGAGACAGAATCTCATCTGCTTGGCTAGTCGACATAAGCAATGCCCAAATAGCATAACAAACAACTCGTAGATGAAATTCTGGATTTTTTTTCCGATTAACCTGGATATTTGACACGCTATGCAAGCCGACTAATCACAGAACGACCACCTGCTTTGCAGATAGCCCGGAGTCACCGCATTTGAACCTCTGTGGCCACAAGAGGATTTTTATTCCTCCTTGGATTTGAATCTGAGTCATCCAGGTACTTTTGACCTTTGGAGTCAAGCTCAAACCAATCAGGCACCACCTTTATGGTAAAAATTCTGGATATTGTTGTCAAAGGAAGAGAAACTTTGTTCCCTCCAGATCTTTCCAAGTATTTTTCGTAAGCACATATGGATTTTTACGATGATATCATTTTCATCTAATATTCTTCTGAATTTATAACTTGAACTGCAAAACATAAAATGAAACAACATAAATTGTACATAATTGAAGTATTTCGAATTAAGGTTTTGTTTGTCAAATTAACTCATGAAATTTCATATCATATCTACAAAATTATTACGAATTTATCGCACCATAATACGATACTCACATATTACCGTCACTAAAACTTGTTTTGCTGTCTAACTTTATGTACCGTGAAATTGTAAATTTGAAGAGTGAATATAAAGATTATAGATACAACATATATGGTAACTGAACTTTTGATTATTAATTACACACACACATATATCTATACGACATTAATAAGCATTTAGAACATAATCTTAATTACAACCCTTAATTAAGCACATAGTACTGCTCTTTAAAGCCTGGATTTAAAAAATCTCTTAATCACAACTCGTAAAGCATAATGTACAAGCTTTTAATGCAACGGTTTTAAACTCAACTAGGAAGATTTCAGACGCTCTTTCCATCACAGTCTTCTATACTAACTTTTACTTTCTCAATTCAATTTCAAAATAATGTATATTTAATTGAAGTGTTGGGTTGGTCGAGTTTATGTGCATATGGTGTTACGTTGCATATGTGAATGTGTATTTAAATGAAGTGTAATTTACATGCATTTGGTGTTACATTGCATATGTGAAGGGTATTAGTCTATAATGAATTTATGTGCATTTGATGCTTTATTTTTCATGTGTTGGGGAATTTCATATATGAATATATCACATATGGCATATGTGCATTTTATGTTATAATTCATATGTGAATGGATACTTGTAGAAAATTGAATCTATTTCAACTAGCACATGAAAAGTATTTGACATGCACCTGTTAGCTTAGGGGTCGTTTGTCAAATGTCTATCTGGTAAGCGCTTACTAACAAAGTTACCACTTAAGAAAACGGAAAGACCGAAACGTAGACCAATCTTGCTGGATTACTCCCTTCTCCAACATAATTGGAATGTAAAACGTTGTTCACATGTCGTTCGTTATACATTACTACTGATGCAAACAAATGCTCTGGTGATGAACAACGAAGTAAAACTTCGAGCGATTGGTATAAACGGCAAGGATCTTACGATGGAAGGAGACTACACTATCTTTTAATTTTGGAAGAAATCATAACAGATTAGAGGGTATATTTTAAATGCAACCATGTCCATTTGTACAACTAATACAACCCAATTAATTGAATTATTTATGAAAATGATGAAAGTTCATTTATTATAATTTGAATATTTATAAAAGATGACTAAAGTTTATTAATTACGATTAATATTTTACATTAAGAAACAATAAAAACTTTTATGAAATCACATATTCATCAAATTAAATAGACGGTTGAGATTAAGTTGTATTAATTGTACAAATGTAAAGGGTTGCATAATAACTCACCTCTATTTTACTATTCAATTAAGTAGCTTTTTTACCATTGCAATCCAAATGCCTTTTAAAAACTCTAATTTTGATGTTTAAATTAACTTAGTATTAAACCCATGACTCATGAGCATAAACATGCTTGCTACCTTGAATGAAAGAAAAATGATGTCACTGCTTTGCTGATTGAATAATATATCCAGCAAACTCCTGATAGAAAAATAAAAAGGTTGAACAACTTCTAAACCCATAAATACCCCTCCCTCCTTTATAGAGTAGAAGAAGATTATACACCACAAAGACGATTTTCCGTTAATCAAACTGTTGTCGAAGCTGCATCTCCGTTTCGCTTTTCCACGTAGCATGCGATGACTGACCCTTCATACGTTTGTTCTTTTCCTTGTCTTTAATCATAGACCCTTTCTTCTTTGAGAATTCATCTGTCTCTGCAACAGGACGGTCGCCACACACAGGGCATACCATCCCTCGTGCGTTAGAGAATGTTTTAGGTATTCCGCATTGCAGACACATCCTGTAGAAAAACAATCCCGTCAGGGGTATTTAAGGAACATACTATATAACCTTATGAAAACAGAACAAAGCGCCATTGATCGAGGAGCAAGTCGACAAATTTACTCTTTAGTCAATCTTTGATATGGGAAGGGTAATTTAGAGACATCGAATTTGTATATTATGAAATACGACTATCTTAAGTTGCTGACAGGCAAACACAGTGGATAAAGTAAGTTCTTTTAAGTTTACAAAAGGTTGTGTTTGGTATGCATACGGGACAGGACTGGACATGCGAGAATGAGGTTGACAGGTTAAATAATTGTAGAAGGTTTTAGGGTTTTAATTTGACATGGGTAGTTTAGTAATACACCACTCTTGTCTCATCTCCCTATTTTTGATCCACATACTTTGGCAGAATAAACAAAAAATGCATTTTTGTTCCAATCAGTCCTGTTTTGTCCCAGTCTAATGTTGCAAAACGTGGGACACCAAGTTTTTATGTCCTGTCTCGTTCTGTTATGCGTACCAAACGCACCCTAAAGATGATTTTCCATCATAATAAACAATTCTGGCCACCTGATCTGAATACTGTTAAGTACTGTTCATTAATGGACATACTAAACCACGAAAACCAGACCCATAGTTTCCAACATAAGAATGCGTTCGTTTGACTAGAAGAGAGATTGGGAGGAGTACCTCAAAAGGTCTGCAGCATCTTCTGCGTTTGGATTAGTTGCAGTTGCCACACGTTTAACAGATCCTCCAATTGCGTTTGAAGAAACCTTAGATTGAGTTGATGATGCATTGATGATATTATTCCCAGCATCACTGCTTACTCTCTCACGGATTCCAACTAATTGAGCTTTAGCCTGCATTACGGCACCTATAAAAAAACCATTAATGAAATCTCACACATGCTCCATTGTAATTACAAAGGATCATCATGATATCCTACATGGAACTGATAGTTGAGATACAGATACCATTAAACCCTAGCTGTAGCCTTATGCTGTCAGATGCCCTCCCTTAATTAAGCAACTATGGTTCATGGATATTCTTTAAATTACAAATATATGTATATATGCCTTGAGCAAAAGTTGAGTTAGGTTTTACCAGTTTCTAAGGAAGCAGATGTGAGCCTAGTATCTCTCACGAATGTGGTCGACACATCACAACTGGCATTCTGGTTAGATCCGGAACTTTAATGAAAAAGGACTCCCGAGAATCTACATCTACTACCAATATTCATCCTCTAAAGTGTTTTACTTACGAGTAGGAGTCCAAGGCAGAGTGCAAAGTGGCTACCTAAAGTAAGTGTGAGTAACAGAAGATGATTAACCATGCCATGCTGAACAATTTTTGACAATTTTCTTAATGGTTAGTTTGCAAAGAAACTACAAACACAATGATGAGAATAGCTCGCTCTGATGTAAATTAGTGTTATTTTGGCATTTTCACAACAACGATGATCAGTTTGCAATGAAACGAAAAAGTACAATGGTTAAAGAAAGCATTCAATCATTTGGGTATCAAGGAGAAAAAATCATAGAATTTGCAGTGAATTTTGAAGGAATGCATAAAAAAGTCCCACATAGGAACTTTTAGCAGGATATCTAATCAGAATTGGCTTTACACTTGCTAGGGGAGCATCTTGTATCAACCATTGTAGGACCACTGGAGTTGGCACAACACAAGTGTTACCAAGGGTACAGTCAACCTGAAGGAATAGTTGCTCAAAACCTGAGAGGAGATGGCAAAACTTGATGAATAGTTGGTCGATCCTTGACAAGGAACACCTAAATACATTTAGAGTGCTTACATAATACCCTTGGCATAGACTATGAAGCTACTGGTATGTAGAATATAGAATAAGATGCCAACTTGCATTCTACGAAAGGCAAGGAAGGTGCTTGGATAAAGTAAAGGAGGTCGATCCATGAACCTTCTTCTCAATTATTTTACACCAACAGGAAGTTTTTAAGTATCACCATTAAGGCCATAACACCATCTAAAATACATGGGAACTTCACCTGATATTACCTATTGGTGTATTTGCTAAGGTTTCTTAATTGGTAATCACCACAAACAAATTTTCATCATAACAGCGGAAGACAATAAACAAGGTAATGCACACCATCAGTTGTCTGCAATTAGATGGTTCTTCCTATTTGATAAATGATTTTATTTTATATATCTTTACTATCAAATCACTCTAAATTAGTACATTTCTAGACTAATAGGACCCAACTAAGTGTAAGATTTCTCTTTTTATACCAGCACATTCAATCAAAGAGAAGAAGCCAAAACATGGGCTGTTTCCACAGCACCAGCAGCCCACAGCACCAGTAGCCCAGCAGCATAAAAAAACTAAGTAAAAAACCCAGCAAGGCTGCTGCCCAGCCCAGATCAGTAGCGAGAGGGAAAGAACGAGGTGCAAGAGATCGAGAGAAATCGGCAGCGAGATGGAAGACGTGGGCAGAGAGGGATCGAGGGAGCAAAGTCGGTGGATAAAAGAGGAAGCAAAGAGCCGTTCCAAGAGGCTGTTCGATTGGGGGCTGTCACGAGAGAAATAGAGACAGCAGAAAGGGGCTGTCAATTGGCGATAGAGGGGAGAAAAACAGGAGAAATCGGGAGGCTGTTGGGTCGAAGAGATAGTCGCGAGGGTGAAGGGCAGAGGCTGGTTCGAGAGAGACCGAGAGTGAGACAGCAGCTGRTGGTCGGCTGTTCGATTGGGGAATACGGATGCGARACTGAAGCGGACAGCAGGGGAGGATCGATTGGAGAAGAGGGTTTTTTATCGTCAAATTCTTACGGTAAATCCTAAAATTCTTTAGAATCGGTAACCCARTTTAGATATGTGCTGCTAATTTATCTATTCCAACATTAGTTAACTTTAGATTTTGAYGTTTTYCTACTTTGAGATGTCGTTGTAATYGTTTKGGACMAGCTTATTTGTGTAATTTCTAGGTTAATCGTTAATTTCATTTGAACGTTAATTAACTTGGCCGATTAGTTAACAGTCCTATGAATGCGTGTTATTCAAAACATTAGATACGTAATTGTCTTGTGGCTTTGATATGGTAACAATGGAACTCCTTGAATTCAATAAAGATTTCAATTTGAGTTCTTGAAATCTCATAATCAAAGTGATATTAAGCCGAGCATATGAGCTTAATTATTTGAGTCGGTGTTTTCTAATTCGTTAAAGCTAATTACGTTTGGGATGTTGAGAGCTTGTTCATTGTTCCACTTGTAGTTAAGATTTAGCTAAAGAACTGATTTTAGCTAATGTCTAGTTAGGCGAAAACGAAGGTTGTCAGAGCTTGTTGATAACCATACCCGACTTGAGCTTGTCCTATCTTTTTACGTTTGCGAGATCGCTGATAAGTATTTACATCATCATCGAGAGTGATCTAATGTTGGATTTCGTTCTAATTGTTTATAATAACTTTTAATCGCATATTTAGTCTAATTAATCATATCCAAACCCCCCCCCCCCTTTTTTTTAATTATTTTTAAGTCGTCGCTTTGTATTTGATTTTTCTAGACATAGTAAGTTAAACCGAGTCCCTGTGGATTCGACCCGACTTACCGCTATTACAATTTTGGTTGTAATTTAGCTTGTAGTTGGAATTTATTATTTGGTGGACTCGGCATCCGTCAAATTTTTGGCGCCATTGCCGGGGACTCGGTGTTTCTAACGGTTTATGCCTAGATCTTCACGTACAGGTACGCCTATTCCCATAGACACAGAAATTGAACGGACAGCCAAGCGATTCAGGAAGCTAGCTAGGCTTCGGAAGGCGCAAGGCGAATCTTCAAGTTCACCGGTAATCAACATCTGGAAGGATATTGAATTACCATCCGAGTCTGAAAGCGAAGTAGAGGAACTTAAGACGGAATCTGAGGAAGAAGAGGAGGAAAATCCGAAGGTCAACATGGCCGATGAGCAGACTTTACGTCAATTGGCAACCCAAGACGTTGCTCAAACTCCAATTTGTATCAGGTATCCGACAGGTAATCAAAACTTTGTTCTTAAGACTGGCTTGGTCCATCTCTTACCCACATATCACGGGTTAGAGAACGAGGACCCTAATAAGCATTTAAAGCAATTCCATATTGTTTGCTT